GAGAAGGAGGGCTGGTGAGCCGCCCAGCGGCGTGCAGCCGGCCTGCTCTCGCACCCCAGCCGGGGCCCCAGCACAACCCCGGTAGCACGGGTGGTTCCGCGTCCCAGCCTTCACCCCGGCTGCAGGCAGGTGGTGGCCCCAGAACCTGCCCTACTGCCCTCGACCCCTCGCTCCTGTCTTCCCCGCCATCCGTGCTCTCAAGTCTACCCTTACTTCTTCCCTGCGGGCTTGTTCGAGCCCTCACTGCTGGCCATCTCACCTCGGAGCCCTTCCAAGGCTAACACCCCAAACCACTGAAGGTCCCGATCCGGTCCAGTTTCAGCCCAAAGCAGCCCCTGGGCATAGCCTTCCAGGCCCAATCTCCAGGCAGTGCCCACTTGCGACTGGCGAGGGTCTTGCGCCAGAGAGAGGGACGGGCAGCTCTAGCCCCAGACGGGAGGAAGGGGAGGGTGGAGGAGAGCAACTGAGGGCCGAAGCTAGACCCCTCCTTCGTGTCCTCTTCGGCCAGCGTGGATTCAGGCTCCAGGGGCAGCAACTGGGAAAGGAGCACCTGGGAGAAACAGAGAGGTGAGGGGGGTGAGAGCAGAGTTGCCTGTGCTTCTGGCGACAAGCCTTGTACCCCCTTGTACACCACTGCCCACACCTTCCCCAGGGCTCTGGCGGGACATAAAATGGTGCCTGCACACTGTGCCTGTGACATTGCATCCAGACACAGGGAAGGGCTAGACTAGCAGCTCCTGCAGTCCGAAATGATTTAGCTGTCCAAAAAAGCAAGCAGGCAGCTGCTGTGAGCCTCTGAGTGCAGATTGCTCTGCTCTTGTCAAACTGTCCCCCCCCGTACTTGGAAGGTAATTGAGGCTTCAGTCCTTGCTCCTTTTGCTGACGCTGAGCACCTCCGTGTGCTCAGGCTACTGTGTGGCATTTCTTTTTTTCCAGAGGGCTGGTGGGGAGGATGGATCTGCCCCAAATACCTGCTGCTAAAGATGAGGGGGAGGCAGGAGCAGAGCAGGTGTGAGGAAGGGGGGCTCCCCGTCTGCTGGGAATCCTCTAGGTTATCTGTGGAGGCAGGCACATGCTGATTGTACAGCCCCGGCACTGCCAGCAGCCTCCGGCTGTAGGGAGACAAGGGTTGGGAGGTGTATTGGGCGAGTGGAAGCATGGCATGGCTGCCCAGGGAAGCAGCCTGCGGTAGCCATTCCGCATCTGTCCCTCACGTGGGTGCTGAGGTAAGGCTGAAGATGCCTTTGTGCAGCTCTTTTCCGTAGTGAGTTAATTGAAGCGGACACGGGCATCTTCAGCGAAGACTGAAAGTGGTGAGTCATAGCAGGATCAGTCTTGTGATTTTAGTTCACGTCCTAACTACTTCCCTGTAGCTTTCCCAGGGTGACGTGAAGGCAAGGTGTTGGGGCTTAGGTTAGGATTTGGGTAAGAGGGAGCTGGGTAGATTTGAAAGCCAAAATACTATTGCTGTAACTGCTGAGGGTAAAAGATTTACGCAAGTGAAGAAGCCCTTAGCTGGCATCCTGACAGGGGCTGTTGGCCTTGAAGAGGGGCTACTGGGGGGTAGTACTGAGCTTAGGAGTGAAAATCCTGACCTAACAGGATGAGCCTTCCCTCTGAAACGTCTGAACCGGGACACTGAACATGATGAGGGACAGGACTGTAATTTCTGGTGGCTGCTGACAAAGGGCAGAGTTAGACAGGACTAGTCTCTTTACCGTTAAAAGCCTCTGCAGCAACGCAGGGAGTCCCACAGGCAGCCTGCCCCAGACCAGAAAGCACTAAAAAGCTTTTGTCTGTCTGCTCCCTTGTAGTGCTGGTGCTCCTTAGGGGTTAGGTTATAAAGATACAGTCACCCTAGAGCTGAGGCTGTTGGGCTGAAGGGGAGGGAGCAGTGAGAACAGACAGCAGCCTCCAGTAGCTGGAATTTGAGCCCCCCACTTATTTCAGGTTCAAACACGACCTCTGCAAATTGCCCCTGCTACTCCTGAAACCTCCCTCAGCTCTCTCCCAGTCCCTCCTACCTGTAGCCTCTGTCCTGGTAAGGACACAGTCTGAACGCTGGCAGAGAGCAGAACTAAGAGGAGGAAAAGCGAGCAAGGCCACGACTGGAGCCCCAGCATCTTCTTCTTATCCCAGGGCTTGTGGGAGGCGAGGCAGGACCTGCAGCATCTGTGTCAGATGCAGTCCCTAGCCCCTCTTTGCCTTTATAGCTTTGGTTCTGGCAGGCGCCTGGCCCCCAGCTCTCTGCTGAACTACCCCCTGGAGCTCTTTAACCTTTCAGCCCTTTTGTCCAGGGTGATATATTTCAGGGTGAGCTCAGCAAGACCCCTTCCTCTAAAGAAAAAGGACACAAAGGTGTTTACTGAGTGTCTGGGAAGACAAATGTGAGCTGAGCTGCTGCTGGCCAGGACCTGGAGGTATCTGTCAGGGTCAGGAATGAGGTGACACTTTGAAACACGTCCCGAAGGAGGATCTTGAAGGCTGCATTGTATAGCATGATATTGAACATACTCCTTGTAGGCAGAGTGCTGTTAATGCTATTTCTCTAATCAGCGTGAGCATGAACTAGCGGTAGTCACACTGCTGGCTGCACAGAGCTGACACAAATTCAGCTCTGTGACAATACAGGCTCTTGTTTTTTAATATTTTATCTTGGTGAGCTGGTTGGCCTGGGAATGAAGAGCTCTTGTTGCAGAAGGTGTGTGAATTCCAGCACTAACTCTGCGAGATTTGTAGTGGTGATGGGAGCGTGGGTCTAGTACTAGCGGGCATATAACTTGCAGGCTGGTTGTCCTGAGTCACTCAACATACACCATCTGGAGGGCTGGGCTGAGTTTCCAGAGGAACCAGCACAGAAAAGAGCTCGTCGAGGCTCAGCTTGCACTTTCTCAAGCTCAGGCGCACAATGGAAGCGGGATGGCGAGGAGCAGATTCCTACCTCCTAAATCTTCTGGCCATTAGTTCCCCCCCCCTTTGTTTACCTCTCCCATTTTACTGTCGTTTCTCACCAGTTGAACAAGGCAATGAGGTCACTGTTTGGAGACCAGGGTGCAGAAGTCAGGCTGGGTGTGAAGACAAAAACTAATCAGGAAAGTTTGTCAGGGGAGAGGAATGGGGGGGCTGTACCCCCAGACAGGATTAGTAGTGGGTGTGCTGGGTGAGTTTAATAACACCTTAAGCTTCCCTTTCTTCTTGTTGCACAAAGCAATTGGGTCAAAATTTGACAGGCAGTGTTCTGCTGCCTGTTTTGCTTATTTTTTTTAAGGAAAGAAGAAAATTAGAAAAAAAAAAGTCTTTTGCAGAGATAACAAAAGTCACAGTTCAGATACTTGTCCTGTCTTTCCAGCATTTTGCACTTGCAGATGCAGATTTGTAGGTCCCTTTCTTCCCTGCCCAAGGAGCCAGAAAGTTTTACAAACTGTTTTGCATCCAGTGCATGAAAAGTGAGTGTGGGGCTTCAGTCTGGAGCACTGACGCTGGAAGCAGGAGAGACTTTGTAGAGGTGGGGGTATCCAAGTATGTTAGCTCCACCTGATACCTGCGACCTGTGGGTGGTGCTGGTTTCAGAGCAATGCTCTGGTGATCCTGTCTGGCAGTCCCCTGTCACCCCCTCGCCTGGGCCAGCTACCAGGGGCATGCCAGCAAATGGAGGGGCTCCCTGGACCCCTGGCTAATGGCCTCAACCGACACATTTCATGGGGAACAGGATTACTTTCATACCAGCCTTTTAAATCACAAAGCACAGGTGACTGCTGGAGAGTCACAGGACATGCTGTTCGTGTGGGCATTCAGATGGGGTGCCTGTGCACAAACGGAGTGCGGGATGTGTGCGCACAGCCCCTTCGTGTGCTGGATGCGGTAGGGTATGGAGCTTTGCGGTGTGAAAGTTTCAGAGGGGTGGGAAAGAGACGAAGGAGGATGGGAAGTGAACACGTGTTCATCCCACATGCAAGATGTCTCACGAGGATGTTGTTTCTGTACTTCCTAGTCACATTCGACCATCCAGAAGCAGCTGAGTCAGTCTGCTAAAGTATTCATGCTCCCGGAGAGACAGCCGCAGGCAGATGAATCTCGTGTTGAACACACCGGTTCCAGGAGTCAACTCCTTCCTGAGCGAAAGGTAAGTACAAAAGCAACAACACTTTGGTTTTGATATGAAATGTAGCAGTGGTTTCGTCTGGCATCCCTTGAACGTGGTAGCCCCCATACTGCAAGAAGAATGCCAGAAATGTGTTTTGAAACTTCTCTGAATTCCAGCCCACGTGCACGCAGACTGAGCCCTGCAGGGATGGACAGGCTCTGAGCTCTCAAGTGACGGGTCCCCTCCTTGGGTCCAGCAAAAGCTGGGGCTAGCAGGAGGGAAGGAGTCATCACTGCCCCATACCAAGCAAAAAACTTCGGGGACTGCAGAAAACTTGCAAATTTTCTTGCAAATTCTTGCAAATTTGCAAATCCAGCAAAGCCTAGACAAATTTCAGGTGCTTAATGACTCAGGTGCTGTGACGTTGCAGCTGCTCTGTGTCCCAGATCCTTGCTGGGACTGCAGTAGAACAGAATAGTTGCTCTGACATGTCCTGGCAATGACTGTGAAGTGAAAAGGCTTTGGCAGACGAGTCCCCAGTTGCCCCAGTTTTCTCAGACTCAAATAGGTTATTGTCCTTCTTTCCTCTCTGGTGCTAACAAGTTTCCTCTGTAAAAACCCTTCTCCCTCTGATGCTGGGGCACTGATTCCAGAGCTTGCAAGACCACCAGAAAAGTGGTGTCCTGCTGAATTACAATCAGTCTTTTACAAACAGTTGCTTATAAAGGAAAGGAACAGGGCAACTGGAGAGTGGGAGGACTAGGAACTGGGCGAAGTACCCTGGGGCAACACCCCCTGGCCCATGGTGATGGAAAGGGCTGATGGTTGCTGCAGGCTCTAGAAGAAAGGATGATATTAATGTTGCTCCCCTGGTACCACCTGTAGGAGTCTGGAGCCTACTGTGGTCAGGAGTCCCTCAGAGAACGGAAACTCCACTGATCTTGGCAACGAGTAATCCCTCAGAAGCAAGGTATTGGGATTACTCCTTCAGCAGCAATTCCTGGTCATTATGGCAGCCACCGAAATAGCTGCTTGCGAGGAAAAGAAGGGCAGCAACTGGCTGCTTAAGGCAGCAGCCACTGTGTAGCTGTGTTCAAACTTCTCTTGGGTTTTGCTTCATCTTTCTGCAGGAATTCCTTTGTCCATGGCACAGGATTGCTAATTCCTCCAGTACCAGGAGAGGCCAGTGAGGAGAGGGGGATGCTCCACTTGAACAGCCTGCAGAAAGGGACCAACAGGAGCTCCCGCTCACTGACTTTCCACTCTCACTTGACCAGGCAGTGCTGTGCCCGGGAAGAGCAAAAGACTGACTGCAAAGCAGTGAAGGAGCTACTGTGTCAGTCCCAGTCATAGACTGCCAAACCCTCCTTCCGTCTCAGAGAGGCGGCTGGGTGGCTATCCTGAAGGAAAAAGTTTAACCACTTGTAGTGGAAAAGCATGGCCTGAAGGTAAGCCAGTGCTTAGGCATTTTTGTGGCCACCTTGTTTCCTCCATTCACCCATTCATACCTCCCTCACTGCAGTATTGTCAACATATGATCTCATATATACGCAAGATTTACTGCACAGACTTGTAAAGCCTTGAGCCTGGGGAGAAATCCGTATATGCTGTTCTTTTTCTTTCATTCCCATTTGTGAGTGACATACGCCGTGGGTGGTGGTGGAATCATGTACAGCATGCATGACTGTGTGTCGTATTTACTGTTAATGCCATAGCTGCTGCCTCTGTCTCTTGTGGCCTTCGCTGAATATTTTATCAGGGAGGACAGGCAAGAGGAACGATATTGCTGTAGCTTTCAGATCTTTGTATTTCACGTGATTGTCCTGTTCTTACCGGGGTGCTCTGGATTTGGGGGGGTTATGTTGGTATCTGGCTATCACACTAGTGGCTGCAGGGGGGCAGATCTTTCCAGTGAGTCATGGGACTTGAGGGTGGTGTTTGGTCCGCATGTCCCAGCCCAGTAAATACACCTGTCATCCCGTCATTCCCTCCTCTACTTGTTTCTACAAGCATCTAACATGTTTATGTCCATTCAGGTACCGGCATGTAAAAAAACATATTCCGAGGCCAATGTAAAGCTGTGCAATTTCTAATGCTGCTTTTTTTTTATAGGGATCAAAATAAGCTACAGTAGTCTTTTATCACTACTTATGCAGCCAGGCCAGAGAAGAACTGAGCAGCAGGCTCTACTTGCTGGCAAACCGAGGGTGACCACGACGACTGCAGGAACTTGGTAGATCCTCAAAGACAGAGAATGCGGAAGATCTGCGGGAACCTGCTGATAGGAGGACCCTTCCAATTCCTGCCCAGCTAGTCCCTAGTCTGCTTTCTAGGCAACTGACAGGTAGGAGGAAGTAATTCTGTACTAATAGCTCTGGGACAAATGCCAGTTTACCTGTGGGACAGGAGGTTAAAGGTTGTTTATGCGATTAACACAAATTCAGATTTAGGGCACTTCATGTTCACATGGCTGTCCAAGGAGTGCCAGGACCGACATGTTTTTTCTGGAAGGAAAGAACTTTAGTGCCAGTCCTACTTGAAACATAATTAGATTCACAGCAAATACATTCCAAAAAGCGCAGTGAGACAACCAGTGTTACCAGTATAATTGGTAACTTGAGCAAGTCAGAGTTAGGCAAGGATAATTATAAAGCTTTTTTTTTGTTGGTTTTTTTTGTGTTTATTTCCTTTTTTTAAAAAAACTTTTTAAAGTTGTATTTTTTTCCTACCCCCATTACATATTCTCTGTTGAAGCACTCTAGATATAGTCTAAGTTAGCCTTTCTCCTCCCTCCCCCCCAAATCTCTCAACTCTTCTTTGAGAGACCTGTACAAGAAAAAGATGCAGGTAACTTCCCGTCAAAGCCCAGCTGGGCTTTGCAAGGCAAGAGCTTCAAAAAGGATCAAACATAAAAGGGCCTAAACCCAGCAAAATCATATTGGTCCTGTGTTAAGAGAAGCTGAATGGCGTACTTATAACCACGTACAAAATAGGAAGGGAATGAGCATTTGGTACTCAGTGGTTAGTTTGGCTCTTAGAAAGACTTTCTTCCAAAGATTTTTTTTTTTTAATCAAAGCAAAATCAATCTGCAAAGCCAGGGCAAAAACAGTCAAAGTGGCAGCTATGTTCATCACTGCCTTCCTTTGTGGAGACAGGCTTGAAATTGCTTTAGCCTGGTGTATAACTTCCATTTTGTCCTTATTTAAAGCACTGTCATATTATGGGGTAGTTCAGGCAAGAGAAGACGACTGCTGCATAAAACGAGTTTTATTTTTAGTTAAAGACAGTGGCAGATGGTTCCCTCAGCGCAGCCGGCGGGCTGAAGATCTGGTGATGGGAGTTGTTTTGGTGGGGGTTTCTTCCTCTTGTAATTCTGCCGATAGCTCTAGGAGAGTAAAATGTGTCAATAACCAGCAGTCCACTGCCTTGAACAGAGAAATCTACAGGCAACCTAAGCAGTGCTCTGAAGCCCTACACACCTTCTGCCCATTACCAAAGGAACATCCCTGATGGGCCAAATCTATAGTCTTTCTCTACTTCTCCACTTTCACCTTTTGAGCATACATGTACAATGCCTTACCGTCCTCAGAGCTGTTCTCCTCATCACTGGAGAAGGTGATAATAGGTTTTTTGGGTGGAGGGCGCTTTTGGGCACGCTTATGGTTTCGGAGGGTGCGAGGCTGGGGTGAGACAAAATCTTCATCCCTGTTAGCTGTGCTCAGGGGCTGGCGGCGAGAACCTGCCAAGAAAAAAAAGAAAAAGAAAGGTAGCAGCCATTCTGTCTGTAAGGGTGAGGAAAAGTCCTAGGTGTCTCTGCTGGCCTGCAGAATCAGGGGGAAGGCTGCAGTCTCACG